CACCGGCGATTGACAGCCGCGGCCACGAATGTCGGCGCGGGTAGGGACGTGCGAGCCCACCTGGAAATGCAAAATCACGTATATATACGTGATTTTGCACACTGCTGCTGCCCTGTAACAGTATTTCTGCTATAGGGTGGTCGGCAAGCGGCTAATGACCCAAGGGAGGGACATGTATTATGTCATTTCCAGGGACACAGCTGTCATTCCTCTGCTACTGTAGCTGAGGATGCAGCTAATCAGACACAATCTGTGTTTGAATAGCTGCATTGGTGGGCAGGGGAAATATTGGGGGTCTAATAGGCTCCCAATGTCTCCATAAAAAAGGACCTGACACTTGACCAAGCTATCACATATGAGGCTTGTTAGCCCTCTTGTGATACCAATAAAGTAAAAAAAAATAAAATGTGTAAAAATAAATTATATAGAATAAATAAAAACAACAAATTACTTTAAAGCACTCCCGCCTCCCCTACACACACCCCATGTAGGCTGAGCACATGTATGTAAATATGAATTACCCCACACATGTCCGGTATTGACATGAACATCGGAGTGAAAGCAATAATTCTAGGGCCATAGTTCACAGTTAACTCTAAACTGATAACCTGTAGAGGTTTTTAAAGTATCAAGTATGAAAATGTTTGGGTACCATAGTTTTGGTAATTCCACAGGCATGCACAACTTAAGACTTGACGTGTTTGGTATCTATATATTCGATGAAACCCAATCTTTTATATTCTACCAAAAATTGTGTATAATTTTGTGTTTGCTGGCACTAAAGTTAATTTTATTGTATTTTTTCCTAAAAATATGCATTTGATAAATAACTGCGCAAGTATCATTCCCTTCATCAGGAAAGAAAATATAAAATCGGACGGTATGGACTTGGAGGTTGTATTTATTTAAAACAACTCGGTCATGTTCAGCAGCTGGTTAGGCCAAGTTCTTTTAGATATACAGTTTTTAAATCACAACCCCAAATCCATACCAGCTGATCTGATGTTTTCTTTAACGTATTACTAAACCCACAACAGTAAAATCAGTCTGTATATGCAGTAAAGCATGCTTGTTATCCTCACTGTGGAACCTAATGGGTTAATCCTTTGCATTGTGTAAAAAGGCTGTTTGATCCTGTCTTCTCTGCCCCCTCCTCTTGTTGAAATGTCCACTTGATACAGTCTGAATCCGTAGTCACATACACATGCTCAGTTTGGTGTGTATCGCTAGAGAGGTTTTTATTTTTCTTGGGAGAGTGCATGTGATCAGCACAGGGCCAATCTGCTCTGTCCAGACAGAGGTCAGGGGTTTTACTTCCTCCTAGAGCAGAAAGAAAACTCCTCCTACAAGCTTTAACCAGTGCTCTGCTGAAGTCACAAGACTGCTCTATCTGCTGATGAGAAAAGGCATTTAGCAGTTTATATTTACTAAAATAATTGCATTTCCATGTTCTGTGTACTGTGGGAGACAAGATATAGTGAATGCAGGGTCCTGGGTTTAGTAACACTTTAAGCCCTGATGAAGAGGGTGATGTATCGCGTCCGAAACATGTTGGCTGTTGTACCCTTTTACATGTTTGAAATAAAACCCTATTTTGAACTCTAATATTTCAGTGTGGTGCTTCAATGTTTTCTACTCAAATATTGCTTTCACATTCCAAGGTTTCTGTGGCAGTTCCTTGGTGTATGAAAGCAGCCCACATATCACCCAGATGCCCCAATGGGTCATTAATTAATACAGTTGTGATCAGGGGCGGACTGACCATTTGGAAACTCGAGCACTGACTGAGGGCTCGGGGTCAGTAGGGGGCCCCATGAGATGCCCCTGGTACCTTTTTCATAGGCTTTTTTGAGTTTGGGCAAGGACACAGAGGCCCCATGATCCCCTATTGCCTGGGGGCCCCATGAGTTGTCAGTCCGCCCCTGGTTGTGATAAAATCAATCTCAAGGTTACAGTAGCTGGTATGGTAGATTTTTCCATCCGTTCTCTTTAGCAAGGATAGAGGAATCTGTTCGATTTTTATTGTTCATATTGCAGAATACCAGTGTCCTTGTTAATACCCTGTGCACTGAAATGATATACAGTATCAAACAATGATATCCGTTTTCCAGTTATCTTGTTTGAACCCCCCCTATCTATTAGAGATGAGGCATGGAGGAAGAGTTAGTAGTCCAAATCAGGAGTGCAGGCTGGATAAAACCATGGCTCCTCCATAAATACAGTGAGTGTTGCCACCCTAGCATAGGAAGTGTGTTCACAGTATTACCAGGTAAACATACTCTAAAGAAAACATCCTGAAAAAAAAAAGAAAACTAATGCAGACATCACATCTGAGGAGTTGTGAACTGTAAACCATTACATTAGATACATACAATACATTTGTGTTTTTGGGTTAGATACATTTTTTTAATACTTGCAGTGCCTACAAATCTATGAAAAATACCCTTTGAATTTTCACTCGATGTAGTAGCATAGTGTTGGCAATGGGATTAGAGAACTTTGGAATGTATACTTCAGAAGCTGGAGCACATTGTTCTTTTACAGTCCATTACAGCCAGAGAACAATAGAATGCATTCATCAACATTTCAACATATCAAGTTATTCCATGGTCATGGAAACATCTAAATGTGTTTGTGTTACAAAATGATTTACATTTTACTATTTATATTTAAAGTGGATGTAAATTCTAACAAGTAACTTCAACTATTTGCTGCCTTTTGTTCCGTTAAACCACTGGAAGGGTTTTGTTGCTTCTGTTTGATAAGTAAAAAAAATAAATAAAATCCCGTAGATCCTGCCAGAAATCTGGTGGTTTGCTAATTTCCTGTGCTCTCTGTGCCAACCATTGTTAGTTCCATTGTTTTTAGTTGGCTCTGAGGACTACAGAACCGCATCCCTCTATGTTATGAACCATAGGAGAAGGGCAGGGTTCTATGGTCCCATCCTATTTCTGTTGTTCTGATACAAAAGGGTGAGTGAGTGTTGTCATCTTAGGACAGGAAGTGTGTTACTGGCAGGATCACCAGATGACATAAAGTAAAAAAAAAAAGCCTGAAAAAAGAAAACTAATGCATCTACCATGTTCAAGGACTGCTATGCTGCAATATATTACATTTTTGTTCTTGGGATTTAGATACGCTGTAAGGTCGTTTTAAAGTATTTGCAGTAAATCTCTGTAAGACCTTCTTTTTGCGGACCACCTCTTTCAAAAATGCCAATTTACTGGCTGCCTTGCTGACACTTTTGCTTCAAAATCATTAAAGCAAAACAAGAATGTAGACAAGGAGTTCTGCCCTTACTCCATCTCTCCTGATCTGCTAACTTGCTCCAGGTCATTGAGTCTGAAAGTCTGGGGCTAGCATGACAGCCAAGCAACAAGCATTTTTTGGAAGGAGGTCCGCAATGGCCCCATTTTCTATCTTAACAGGCTTATTTTGACTTTGAATTATTATTTTCGTATTAATTTTCCTAATAATTTTCATACAGATTTTGTTCGAACTTCTCTTTGTGTATATACTGTATAGCTCTATCACTTTCTGGCAATGGTCATCAGTACAACTAAAGTGGGGTCAGTCTCAGAAGTCGGAACACAGACAGCAATAAAAACCTGACAGAGGGTCTGACCTAAAAAACATAGTTTGGCCAGGGGTGGACTGACAACTCATGGGGCCCCCAGGCAATAGGGGATCATGGGGCCCCTGTGTCCTTGCCCAAACTAAAAAAAAGCCTATGAAAAAGGTACCAGGGGCATCTCACGGGGCCCCCTACTGACCCCGGGCCCTCGGGCAGTTCTCGATTTTCCAAATGGTCAGTCGGCCCCTGATTTGGCCTTCACATACATTTTAAGATAAGTTAAAGTGCTTGTGAACCTCTAACATGAAAAATGAACAAAGTATTTCCTTCTATAATGTGTATTAGCCTGAATTCAAATACTCTATGCTGACACAACAGCCTCCTGGGTGACTAACAGCCTTAGCTGCGTACAGTATACTTACCTTTTGATTCTAGGTTCACACATATGTGGTTGGTGTGTGCTGTATTTGCATGGGCTCAGCAGCCCATTTGTTGATTGGGTTGCTGTTTATGTGTGAATGCAGAAAAAAGCTACATGACCCTTTTCCCAAAACACACCCCCATGGCAGCCACAGGCAACTGCACCATGTAATTTCCCACACCCGAAAATGTGCTGTGTTTTCAGACATTAAGAATGAGTGGCACCCCTGCGTATCTGCTAAAGAGCAAAGCATTTTTCCTGCAGGTGTGAGAACAGTCTCCCGTGCCTAGCCTGATTATGTGTACTGGTGGTGCGTCCCTTCCATCACTCAGGTTTCAGATTTCATTGAGCTCTGAGCTCTAGCTGTGCAGTGTGTATGATGTCAAGTCCCCACCCCCTTTCTTTTACTGTTGAGAAATAGCCTTTGATTTGTGTGTTTTAAGAGGATATAGAGGAGATAAACAGGTACAACTTTATTTAATCTCCATGTATCACCTAAGGCTAGTCACTTCAGTGGGTATATTAGGGGTTTACAACCACTTTAATGCAGAACTCTAGCTTCCCCCATCCCTCATGCCATACAATTGCCTTTGTGATTTAACTTTAGAAAAAATTGTGTGTGTATCTTTTTTTTCCTGCAGTCTTCAGGCTGGTCTGGATTAAGGTAATCACTGCAGCAAAAGTTGTTGTTTTTTTTTAATTTTTACAGAGGTAAGGCAGCATTTTTATGAAAGGGAGTCCAGGAGTTTCACATTATTTTTAAAATACTCAAGACTTCAATATATTAAATACAAAACTATTTTTGTTACCTCCAAGGGCAGCTTTGGAGCAATTCACAGAATTCCCTTTGCTTATTCAAATATCACATTACTGTATTTTAAAATTTGAGCATACAACTTACTAGGAAACAAAATGTTCAAGAGATTCTGATCAGAATGTACCAGTGTCTGGAAATGTTATTTTGTGATCCAATTTGTTATTTCTAACATTTCATCTCGTCTACAGGTCCATTATGCAGCATAATGGTGGAAAGGTTTGGCTGCAGGATAACGGTCATGGTCGGTGGTCTTCTTTGTGGAATTGGATTGGTTACCAGCTCCTTCTCTCAGAACATAATACACTTGTACCTAAGTGCAGGGATTGTTGGAGGTGAGGAGATGTTTGGTTTTTATACCTTTTCTTGAAAAGTCTGAAATCTTTGAGTACCAAAACACAAGCATAGCCCTTGTAGAAGCCCTCCTGTGTATGGGTTGCCCATTGTTTCTGTCCATGCTTGATCTGATAGTTGACTAGGCTTTGCTCAGTAACAATAAGTGCAGTCCTTGATAACAGACATGATGTCTTTGATAACAGTCAGTGGTCATCTATGCAGCCATTCTCAGCCAGGCTTCTGTGGCACCCTAGAGTTTCTTCAGACATTCAAAGGGTTCCTTAAGCTGTGGCTGATTGAACTCCTATATGATGGTGCCTCCATAGTTCCAGGTCCAACACCACTTGGCAGAGCCAATGGCATGACATCTTATATAATGATCTTATTTATCTGTGTGTAAGGGTGACATTCTGGCAAGCACTGTAAGGCAGGCATTCTTGCCACTGACCACCAATTTCCCAATGGCCCCATGATGGACTAATCTTAGCAGGGGTTCCCTGAGACTTAAAATTATTTCAAGGGTTCTTCTGGGGTAAAAAGGTTGCGAAAGCTTGGCTATACTGTATTCGACAACAGACCATGCTGTACTTGAAGACAATACATCTCATCCTAGATGACAATCCATATCATTTTAAGGACCCAGCTATACAGTCCATGCTAACAGTTCATAATACCTCAAAACCCATCCACTCTTTTGTAAAAAAAAAAACAGTACATGCAATTCTTGAAGCTGAACCAAAGAACAAAAATTTTATATATTGCAATCCCTAGATGCAATGGCAATATTATTTTCATTTTCTGCCTGTACAGAAATACTGTCCTTGTCACCTCACGTGAAAAAGAAAAAAAAAGAATCTTAGCTCTCCTCTGTGAACTACCAGTCTCTGCACCCCAAGTTTAATATAAAACTAACCTGGGTGACAACCATGACTCCTTCCATAGATGCAGTGGAGGAGTGAGTGTGGCCATCCAAAGATAGAAAGTGTGTTATTCACAGGATTATCTAGCAAAAATTAAAGAAAAAATCCTCAAAACAGAAAGCTAATGCAGCCACCTCATCCAAGGACTGGTAACCTGCAATATATTACAGTTTTGTATTTAGTTTTAGATATGCATTAAAGAGGTTCTGTCACTAGGATACAATTATTGTTATTATATAGTACCAACAGTTTGCAGAGCACTCATATAAAGGGAGCTCAGTTTCAATACAAGAGGGATAGGAGCAGGGTCACTGCCCGAGGGCCCAGGGTCAGTAGGGGGCCCCATGAGATGCCCCTGGTACTTTTTTCATAGGCTTTTTTGAGTTTGGGCAAGGACACAGGGGCCCCATGATCCCCTATTGCCCGGGGGCCCCATGAGTTGTCAGTCCACCCCCTGGATAGGAGGGCCCTGCTTATAGGAGCTTACAAACTTAAAGGTTGGAGCAGGTGGTACAAAAGATAATAACCTGTAGATAAAGTAACAGCTCAATGTTTATCTGGAGGTGGTGTAGGCTTCCCTGAAGAGATGAGTTTTCAGGGATTTCCTAAAGTATGAGATAACCATACAAATTGGGGTAGGGAGTTTCAGAATATAGGAGAGGCTCTGGAGAAGTCGTGGAGCATGAGATCTGGTGATGAGGAGCACTTTGAACCGTTTATTGAATACTGTAAAAAATGTATTTTGGTATGTTTTGACACTTTTTGATTTCTTTTTTTCTATTAGTTAAAAACACTGCAAAGGTAATAGGAATCCAATTCTTCTAGGATGGTTGAATCTCACGAATTGGCGATGGTCCCCCTCCTGTAACATTTATGCCATATTTATGGTTGTGAATTAAACATTCTCACTCCTTATATAAAATGACAACAAATTATTTTTCTCAATAAATACTTATCTGGATTAAATGGAAACCTTATTTACGGAACGTTTAGTTATAATGATATCCTGATCTTCAGTTCGGAGGCAGCAAGTTTTTCAGGTTTGCCCACACCTTGAATATTGTGCTATAAATGTTGCCCTCCTCCCTACTTTTGGGTTAGGACACTAATGAGTGTATTGTTATTGTTTCAAACATTTTCCACCAAATGGAATGTATCTTTACATTTACAGGCTTACAGTATATTCGTCTCCTCTAGTGATGTTTTTAAACCTTTCCTACAGTAGTTATTAACAATGGTTGAACCTAATTCCTTCAATGCAGGTGTTTACATGTATTTTTTGGGCTCATCCTTTACAATTAGGTATTTTTGTTATGATGATTAATACATCTTTGGCAAACAGAGCTTGCACTCTATTTAGACAGCAATGATTGCATGCAGACTATTTTCTGGCTGGTGTTGTTGACATTCCATGTATCTATCCGGCAATGGAACGAGGCTCAGAGTGGAGTTAATGGGCCAGTGAATTCTATAATAAATTGACCTACGCATTGTTAATTGGAAACAATGTTGCCTGACACATCCTTAACCTCCCTGGCGGTATGATTATTTCAGATTTTTGGTGCTGAAAGCGGTACCATTATTTTACATGGAAATATGTAGTTTTTTTATTGTAGGCTCTAATTTTTAGGAATAACTCACTGAAATCTGTCCGAACAAGAGTCTAGTAAACAGTCCAGATGTGATAAAACTTGAAACACGAAATCATAAATTATAATTGAATAAATAATCATAAAAAATAATAGTATAATAATAAATTTAATTCAATAATATAATCACACTGAAATTTGAAATATAGCGCCAAGTTCGTACATTGCTGAGCAAAGTCGCAAAATCGTTTTCAGTGTCTGATGACGAATTTCCCCACGAATCATTATCACTCAATTCTGCAAGTGGTTCTGATTTACTATCGCTGTTCTCTAGCTGATCTAAAACCGCTTTTGACCTAAAGGGACGCATTTTGGACGCCATGGACTTTTCCCAGTTTCCAGGCAGAAAGAACAGTCAAAATGCAGGCAAGGGACAGGACAAAGCACTAGGGACAAAATGTATGTGAAATGCTTTGAAACAGCAATGTTTTGCTATGTAATAATCGTTTTAAAAAAAAATTCAATTTTTTAAAACTTTCAAATTTGCTGCCGGTTCCAGCGCCCGTACGTCCCGAAGTCACAGGGACAGGGACACGGAAGCCGGATGCCGGCATCGGCCGGAGGAAATGGCCGGGGATGCTGCAGGGGACGCATCGCGGGAGCGAAGGACAAGGTAAGCGCTGCAGGGACTCCCTGAGCAACGCCGCATGGTAAGCCCGAGTGTAGCTCGGGGTTACCGCTTGTGGTACTGAAATTTTACCCCGAGCTACACTCGGGAATACCTCCAGGGAGGTTAAAGGCCAACTCCACTTTTATGGAAAAAAAATATAGCATATCAAAAGAAAATATAACATATGCAATTGCTACACAAGACATGTCATATAATGTTATTTAGCCTGGGTTCACACTGATGCGGTCCAGAATTTGCAGTGTTTTCTGTACGAATTCCGCACCGCAACAGAATCGCACCCCGTTCATGCGAACCGCTGCAGGTGTGTATGGTAACAACACCCCGAAATCGGTCCACAAAACGCGGTGCGATATGCAGAATCAGATCACATAGGTGTGAATACCCATGCGATGCGATTCTAGTGCAAACCCAAAAAAGAGTCCTGCACATTTTTTGTGCAGATGCGGTGCGATCTGAGCCATATATAATGTATGGCTCAAATCTCACCGCACACAATTCGCATGTGATTTGCACAGGAATGCGGTGCGGTGCGGTTCCTGTGCAAATAACACGCCATGTACTGCACCGTATGAGTGTGAACCTAGCCTCAAAGTTACCCTTTCTTTTCAGTCTACAGTTGCTGTAACTTTATGTAAAGCCAGTTGCAATATGGCAACTAACATTTGGTGTACAGAATGCCCCCAGATATGCCATTTCCTGCTTGTGTGATTGGCTCACCTTTGTGCGTCTGTCTGCACTGAAATTCAAATCGAATGTTAGGCATCCCATGCAACAGGAATTTCAGTTTTTATTGAAATACACCCTAATGGTAAAATACTTCGAAAGGGATGCAAACCCTGCAACCTTCCTCATTAGAACATTGAGGGGTTGATTTACAAAAACTGGAAAGTGCAAAATCTGGTGCAGCTATGCATGGTAGCCAATCAGCTTCTAACTTCAGCTTGTTCAATTAAGCACTGGCAAAAAAACCTAGTTGATTGGTTTCTATGCAGATCTGCTCCCGATTCTGCACTCTATAGTTTTAGTAAATCAATCCCTGAGAGTGCACCAGGTGATTATAATGAACCAGACCCTCCCATCCAGAATCAGACATGGTCAAAAAGCTATTTCTTCAGAGCAACAAAGGGTTGAAATCTGCTACAAAGATTGGTAAAATTCCAACAACATACATTGAAGTATTTTATTTAACCACTTCCTGTCTGGAAAATGTAGATAAACGGCTGTACGGGACATCTGTGTGAGGTCCCGATTCATGTGATCACTGATTGGCCAATCAGTGATCACATGAATAGTAGTAAACAAGATGTCATTCCTGACATCATTGCTTACTACGTGTGAAATCTGTGAATGATCACAGAGGTCACATGCTACAGAGCTATTCACAACAGCCTTGTACCATGTGGCAAGCTGTGACCAATCACAGCTCTCACAGTATTTCTCAATGGCTGCCTGTGCCTAACGCGCCCTGAGTTTCAGAGGTCACCTGAAGCCTCATATTTGCTGCCATCATAACTGACTGACCTTACAGACCACTTCCCAGCTCCAGAGAGTGTAGAACATTGTCAAATATGGCCAAACGTTCCAGGACACCTGACCATCACACCTTCTTATATGGTCATAAATATGTGGACACCCCTCCAACTGATTAAGCTCTGGTGTCTATGATGAAGTGTACTGTTAATGAAACACCATACAAAGACATTTTAGACAATTATGTACTTCCAACCATGTAGAAAAAGTTTGGGGAAGGATCTTTCCTGTTCCAGCTAGCTTCCTAAATACATGGTTTGATGAGGCTGGTGTGAAAGAACTCAAGTGGCTTGCAAAGAGCCCTGGCCAACCTTACTAAACCTCTTTGAAAAGAATTGGAATGATGACTGTGAGCCAGATCTTTTCTCCCAACATCAACCTTACCTCACACATCCTCTTTTTTTGGCTAAAATAACACACATTCCCACAAACACATGCCAAAATCCTGTGGAAAGCCTTCCCAGAGTGGAGGCTGCTATGGCCACAAAGTATGTGTGGGCCGCGTATTAATGCTCCTGGTTTTGGAACGGGATGTCCAACAAGCTTATATAGGTGTAATGGAGAGATGTGAACCAACATTTTGCCATATAATGTAGATTATGTTTCATGGAATTGCCTGGGTTTACATAATAAGTCGTTTAATTTTTCTTTTACTTTTAGGTTTAGGGCTGTCGCTCAGCTTTCAAGCATCAGTCACGGTGCTTGGCTACTACTTTATCAAGCGACGAACTTTGGCTAATGCTCTTGCCTCAACAGGAGCCTCCATAGGCATGGCTCTTTGGCCGCTGATTTCCCAGTACCTCCTAGAGACAATGGGTTGGAGAGGATCCTTTTTGATATTTGGAGGTATATTGCTTAACTGTTGTGTATGTGGAGCAGTGATGAGGCCAGTGAAAGCTCCGCCATCTGCCCCTGTTAAAGACATGTCTTCTTCAATGCACAATGGAACATCTGGTGGTGTAACAGAATTGGAACAGCGAAAAGGAATACAGAGGTACATGGCTTTTGACCTATTGCTTAGACACAGGCGATACCAGATTTACACAATAGGTGTGGCATGGATGGTTCTAGGCTTCGTTTTGCCACTTTTCTACTTGGTACCATATGCAACCAGCAACGGCATAGAGGAAAGCACTGCTGCACTGTTGCTCTCTCTTATTGGTTTTATCAATATTTTTGCACGCCCAGTGGCTGGAATCATATCACAACACAAGGTGTTCTCTGGAAAACTCATTTACCTTTTTAGTTGTGCCGTAATTACGAATGGACTCAGTAACCTGGTATGTGCAGTTTCAGCATCATTTCCAGCACTTCTGGCATATTGTGGCCTGTATGGTGTCTCTATGAGTGTAATTGGAGCGCTGGTCTTCCATGTGTTGATGGAAATAGTAGGAATGAAGAGATTTCCTGGAGCTTTTGGACTTTTTACCATCCTTGAAAGTGTTACAATCTTGATCGGACCACCATTAGCAGGTAGGTGTTGAAAGAAAATGTTGTTTTTTAGTAATATAGCCATGTAGTTAATTATGTTGTATACACAGGACACAAGTTGATCTTTTTTTTTATTTGTTTTTAGGAAATGTAGGCCAAACAATGTATAACCTTGTCCTTGTAGATTCGTTCGTCATAACACTTCTGCGTTCACCAGTAAAGCAGTTTCCAAGTAGCTAGCAAGAAAAACCTGAATTTTAGCATGCCACAAATGAAGTGATAGGCAGTTACTGCAATCAAGTTTACTGCTCAAACTTTTTTTATTTCTCATAGTATAAAATTAAGTATTACAGTATTTTTCGCTCCATAAGACGCACCTAGGTTGTAGAGGAGAAAAACACTGTACTAATGGCACTGGGCAGGAAGGGGTTAACATGAGGGGCGATCAAAAGGTTAATTGTGTGCTGTTTCACTGTGTGCTGTGTGCGTGTGCTTCACTGTAAGCACACTGCTTTGCATGGCTGTGCTGTGCCTCGCACACACCCCCTGCCCAGAAATGCAAAATCACACACACACACATATATATATATATATATATATATATATATATGTATGTGATTTTGCACACCTGGGCTGGAGTGTTGAGACCAGTGTACACTGAGATGAGGGGGTGCTGCAGCTGCACAGAGAAGTGCAGGATTTGTCGGAGGAGTTTTGTTCTCCTCTTTGTGGCCAACTTCTGAGACAGGGAAGGGGATTGGGGGCAAAGACAGGCCTTTCCGCAGCTGCACAGAAAGGTGCAGGATCTGGTGGAGGAGCTCTGTCCTCCTCTTTACTGCTGATACAAGGCGGGGGGGCGGAGGCAACGGGGTGCCGCAGCTGCAGGAGAGGTGCGAACGCCACGTGAAATGGCCTGGAGGACTGGATTTAGCCTGTGGGCCTTGTGTTTGACACATGTGCTGTAGGTTATCATAGATGCTTGCAGTAATAATAAGAATAATAATATAACTGAAATTATATATATATTTGCTTGGATTCCTGCCCCAAGATTTGCAGATTAATGTTCCCCAGCATAATTCAGACAATTTTCTATTGTCAGACACAATTACAATAGCAGCACAGTTGCTAAATGGTTAGCACTTCCACCTGGCAGTACTAGGGTCCTTGGTTCAAATCCCAACCACAGCACCACCGGCCTGGAGCTTGCATGTTCTCCCTGTGCCTGTGTGGGCTTCCTCTGGGTACTCTGGTTTCCTCCCACACTCCAAAGACATGCTGGTAGGTTAATTGGATCCTGTCTAAATTGGATCTAGTATGTGTATGTATGAGTGTGAGTTAGGGACCTTAGATTGTACGCCCCTTGAGGGTTAGGGGCTGATGTGAATGTACAATATATATGTAAAGCACTGCGTAAATTGATGGCGCTATATAAGTACCTGAAATAGATAACTCCAAATTCAGGTCTTCTGTATAGCAAAAGCATTTTAAATGCAGTCCATTTTTACTTAAACTTATAATGGCTACTAGCACTAGGGACAATCATTTTTCAACACCCACAGACCCTCAGAAATTACTAATGGGCGTGGCTCACACAGCACCAGATTAAGGGTGTGGCCAAGTTGTGCTTACAGTGGGAGTTGCTTAAAGGGCCATAACTACCTGAAACCTGAACCTACTCACTGTGAGCACAGCGCACATATGCCAATGTACTTGTACTGACCCTTTTAGGAGTGTTGCGCTCAGATTCAGTGGAGGAGTTTCAGGAGGCGGAGTCAGTTCAGGAATCACTGCTTGCAGATAGTAAGGTACCATGGGATATGTAGTCCTTAGTAATTGAAAGTAAACAGCAGAGGAGAAGCTGCAAAGCATGCAGGGAACCCAGGAAGTTGTGGGAAGAGATGGCCAGCAGACAGGCAGAACTCACAACATGAAAGGAGATTTTTCAAGTAAGCCCATATTGGATTGTCAATAATATAACTAATGTTTGTACCAGGGGTGGACTGACAACTCATGGGGCCCCTGTGTCCTTGCCCAAACTCAAAAAAGCCTATGAAAAAGGTACTAGGGGGCATCTCATGGGGTCCCCTACTCACCCCGGGCCCTCAGGCAGTGCCCAAGTTTCCAAATGGTCTGTCCACCCCTGGTTTGTACTGTTACTACAATGATGTTATAGCAGAACTAAAGTCATTGATTTAACGGTTTCAAAAGACAGTTACGTTCCCAGTAACTGTCACATTTGCTTGTGTTCTTAACCAAAGTGTCAAACCATCCAATTGCTGGTGTCATAACTGATCACATGTGCAGCACCATGGCAGTTGCAGATCAAACAGAGGCCGAGATGGCAGCTTTCTTGGCTGAAAAAGATAGAGCTTAGTTCCACTTTATAAAATGAAAATGTGTTCTGTGATCATAGATCTCCTTTAAATCCCACCCCTTTTGTCTTCCATTAGAAATTGGCTATCTCTAGCTTTGGACTGTGTATATGTTCTAGGCCAAACTTGGTCATTTTCTAAGTTCTGTTGGTTACATTGTTGGTGTTTCAAATTTTTGTTAATGTGTCCACCCCTATTTCTGCAGGTTTCCTTGTAGACATCACTGGAAAATATAGTCTTGTTTTCTACTTCACTTGTATTGCTGTGTGCTCATCCGGACTTTTCATGCTCATAGCCTCCTACATCATTGACAGAAAGGAGACACAATCCAATCAGAAACCTGCGAACATATCAGATGAAAAAGCCAATGACAGTCACAAAAATGTTATCTATCGACCCGCCAAACAGGAGAATTGTACACAAGCCAACTTGGTATGAAGTATGATGTGTTCTCCAAAGACTCATCTAGATTCCATGAAGAGGAGTCATTGTGGACAATGTAAGGTCAGCACTTTCAGTGAGTACTGGGAGTAGTTGGTCATGGTACGTCTTTATAGCGTAGCACAATGCCTACGCTCCAAGGGAGTAAAGGTATGTATAGAAGAAAGAAGCTTGAGCTTTTAGATAGATGAATTTTTTTACTGATGGAGGTGCAAACCGGGTTTTAATAATGAGTATCTCTCTATACCTCCGAAGTAAGCCACGGCTTTATATCAATGGAAACTGTTACAACTTTCTGATTTCGACCTGCAGCACTTAACATACACTGGTATGGATAAAACATAGAGATGAACTGAAATATTACTGGAAAAAAAAAATTAAGATGAACTCCAGGCAGATATTAAAAAAACACCAATGGATGCAGTTATGTATTTATTATAAAATTATTTAATGTATATGTAAATGCATGTAGCATAGACATCTGAATTTGACTTAATTTTTGGCCTCCTGTTATCCCCTCTACAGTAACACTTCCACTAAGTGGGACTCGTGTCTGCTGACAAGGAACATGCTGACTGGAGGAAAGAGCAGAGAGATTACCTCATCTGTGTATTGCTGCTCATTCATTTTCAAATCACAGGCTGGGGTGAGGAGGTGTCCAAGCCATGTTGCTTAATTGTAGCAGTAAAATGTCAGGTCAGGTCACCAGATTGGCTATTCTGGGTGGTGGGCCTATGTATACCTCAGGACTAGAATGGACAAGTAAGACAGGTCTCATATATACAGTGAAGGAAATAAGTATTTGATCCCCTGCTGATTTTGAATGTTTGCCCACTCACAAACAAATGTTCAGTCTAAAAATCAAATGCTAGGTGTATTGTAACACTGAGAAACAGAATAGCAACAAAAAACTTAAAAGAAATGCATGTCTAACAAATTATGCACTGATTTGCATGTTCATGAGGAAAATAAGTATTTGATCCCCTCTCATTCAGCAGGATTTCTGGTTACCAGGTGTCTTTCATACAGGTAACAAGCTGAGATTAGAAGTAGTCTCTTAAAGGGAGTGCTGCTAATCTCATTTTGTTACCTGTCTAAAAGACACCTGTCCACAAGAGCAATCAAACAATCAGATTCCACACACTCCACCATGGCAAAGACCAAAGAGCTGTCCAAGGATGTCAGGGACAAGATTGTAGACCTACACAAGGCTGGACTGGGCTACCAAACTATCGCCAAGCAGCTTGGTGAGAAGGTGACAACAGTTGGTGCAATCATTCACAAATGGAAGAAACACAAAACAGACTGATCATTTCTGTGTGAGTGGGCAAACATTCAAAATCAGCAGGGGATCAAATACTTATTTCCTTCACTGTATACTTATTCTGTGTAGATAGGTGTTTGCTTTGCTGACCACAGCCCCCTCAACTAACAGTAAAAGTAGCAGATGCAATATGGTATATAATCTGTACATTCCACTCCCAAAGTCTGATGTTCTGTGTTGAACTCCAGCCTTCCCTTCAGTCTTGCACAGTTGTACAGGCTCCTCTTCTGTACTGAAATTGCTTACTCTGATTTCACAGTATGCAGTAAAAGCTGCAACAAGTCAGATAAAGCCTGTCTAGAGGATATCCAACATCATCGAACCCTTTCCGCCCCCTGTCTCTGGCCCATCCTTTTATTTTATTGCATTTCAGTTCTTTCAGTCCTCCAATCCTCTAGATCAGGGGTCTCCAATTTGCGGTCCGAGGGCCAGATATGGCCCTTCGCTACCCTTTATCCAGCCCTTGGGGCACTATTCCTCCCACTAGGACCAACAATGGGGCAGCACTTCTTCCATTGAAACCAATGAAGGTGTACTATTCTTCCCATGAGATCCAATGGTGGCGTACAATTCTTCCCACTAATACTAATGATGGCGCATTATTCCTCCTCCTACTGACCATCAATCCTGAGGCCATGTTTATTCTCACTGATGCTGGGGCCAAGACATTTTATACTCCCACTGGCCCTAATCCGGCCCTCCTAAAGTCTGAAGGACAGTATACTGGCCCTTTTTTTAAAAAAACGTTTGGAGACCCCTGCTCTAGACTGAGATCTGTCCATCAAAGAATTTAGATTTTTGCATATCTCTTCTCATGGGCTCCATGAGCCAACCTACTGCTTGCATCAGGGCTTCTGAGAGGAGTACTGAGGCAGACTGCTGTGATGTTTTCAGAAAGCTATCTGTGTACAGTATC